CATCAGCGAACTTGGTGACACGACTACTGAAGACGAAGTGGAAAGAGGGCAAGGTAGCTGCGGATTGGAAGAAAGGCTACCTATTGGAACTGCCGAAGAAAGGAAACTATATTCAATAGCTCTTCACCCCAACTTCATCGACTTTGTGAAGGCCTTCAGCAGACAGTGTCGATCGAGAGGTGATTTGGCAACTACTTCGCTACTACGGGGTGTCGTTGACAATTATACACCTCATCCAACGGTTGTAGGATAATGCTGCATGTCGAGTAATCCACAACGGGAAACTGACGGAATCCTTGGAAGTGAAGGCGGGAGTAAGACAAGGCTGGCTGGCTGGCTGGATGCCTACTATCTGCAATGATTTTCCTGATTGTGGTAGACTTGATAATGCGACCAACAACGGTGGGCAACGAGGAGACAGGCATAAATGGACCTACACAGAAAACTTGGAGGATCTGGACTTCGCCGATGATATATGTCTGATTTCCCACGAACTGGAAGATATGCAAGTGAAAAGCAACAAGTTGCCAGAAGAAGCATCCAGAGAAGCTAGGCCTTCAGATGAACACTGAGAAGACAGAGGTGATGAAGATTCCTGGTCAACAACAACATCAACAGCAACAGATAACAATCAGCCTAAATGAGAGGAATGTGAAAGAAGCAAGCTCCTTTACCTACCCACCTACCTGGGAAGCATGGTTTCAACTGCAGGTGGATGGAACTGACGAGGATATGAAAGCGAGGATCGGGAAAGCAAGGCAAGCTCTGATTACTCTGATGTCTGTGTGTAGATGAACAGCACTTAGCATGAAAAATAAGGTAGGGATTCTCAACTCCAATGTGCAGTCAGTGCTCTTCTACGGATCAGAGATTTGGCGCCGTATAACGACGGGCACTTCGAAGAAACTACAGACCTTCATGAACAGCTGTCTTCGCTCAAGATCAGATGGCCATGCCATCCATAGAAGATCAGCAACATGGATCTTTGGGGACGAATCAAGCAGGAACTGAATGCTCAGCAAATATGCAGGAAGAAGTGGAGATTGATTGGCGACACTGTGAGGAAACCATGAAGTGAGTGACCTCACACTCCAGGCCATCGCTTGAGTGGAACCCGAATGGAAAGCGGTGAATTGGTCGTCAGTGCGAGAGTAACATGGAGGAGGTCGTGCGAAGGGGAGATGAAAGCATGTGGGTAGACGTGGATCCGCGTGAAAACATTGGCAGAGAACCGAACGCAATTGAGATGTCCAGCTGAAGCCCTATGTTCTTCCAGAAACTGAAGGAATCAATATCAATAATCTTCTTAAGTGGAAAATTCTTTCTTGTACAATCTGCTAATTTTGTGTGCATACCCACTTTCGTAGTTCCAACAGTTGTATGAACACTTCTTTACACAGCACACTTTTTGTTTTCAAAGTGAAGTAAATTTTGCTCCTATTTTAAAGTAGGTTAACATAAGCCTTCACAAGTTTGTTGCCCATGGTCATGTATATTAAGAATCTGCGCCTTTCGAATAAGTCATAATTTAAATAAATTTAGTTGCATCTCCTAGATTTCTATAAAGTATGTATTTCAAATGTCGTTTTTATTTCGATCAAAACTCCTGGAATCTTACAGTCGAATGTATATGTTTTATTTTTAGAATGCAGTGGTGGTGACACCACTTGTTCATTGACGGAGCCAGTTGTTGTATTAGAGAAACCCACAGAGTCAGACATGCAGGTTAGTTTGAATTATTGGCTGCTTTGCCAATATTTCCCCTTGCTTTGATGACCCAAATTTTAAATAATATTATTATTATTAGTAATTAGGTGAGCAGTGTCATTCTTAGAACAATTTTCTCTTTTTTTAATTCCTTTATGCTCCCAGTAGAACATAGGCCTTCAAAGTGGAGGCTTGAAGTTTTGGTAGCATTGGTATTTATATTCACGGGATAGGGTTGCTAGTCTCATGCTTAACCTTTCCTCTTTAGCAGTCTTATTACTTACTGGCTTGGTGAGGTAAAAGAGTGCTTCGCCGGGGATCGAACCCCGAACCAACTGAGTGGTTGGCGAACATTCTACCGCTGTGCCACTGACTCACAACAGTAATTGTTCAAATTTCAAAATAACTTGAAATAATTTCAGGGTGTTTAGACGATCTGCAGTTTAAACGTTGAAAGTGGTTAATACGTTTCTGCTGTTGGTAGAGGTGTGACAGATGAGATCTGTAGCTGGTGTATACACTAACCTGAGCGTCACAAAGTTAGTCTGGTCGTCAAAGGTAAGGTTTACAATGCTTCGACGCTCCTATTCCGCTTTATTTCTGTGAAACCTGGTCGGCCTCTACAAGCTGAGGATGTGCGAGGACTGTGCTTGCTCGAATATCACTGCCTCTGCAGAACTGATTACATCCGGTCGCATCACCATGTTAGTAATTCTGGCTTCCAGTGGTGTGGAGACTGTTGTTCATTAAGAGTTGTCATCTTGAGAGATTGTCCTTTGGTGACATGTGCTATGACTGACATCTTAGTAGCTCGAGAATAGTCACTGCTCGCTTTTTCTAGGATTGTGTAACACAAGCGGAGGGGTGGTGAGTCCATGACAATACGTGGGATGAAGGATGCTTGTTTTACGTCAGCATGTGTTGGCGCATCACAACTCCCGGGTTAGCGATTCAAGAGATAATTCGAATCGCTGGTTCGAGGCGTTATGGGATATGGCTGGGAACCGCAGTCAATACCGACTATACTGCAATTTCTTCATTTCCTCTTTACGAAAGTGACACCGTCTCGATAGGTGTGCTTGTTTGTTTCCTTGTTGCCGTTTTTCAATCATGCTACTTCTCTCCTATGCATTGTGTTTTAGTATTTTTGTGTGTCGCATATTTTGATGCAGCCAATTGTGTATGCAAATAAAGTGAAACTTGATTGAGATGTAATCGGAAGGAAATACTGTTCGCTTATACAACATCTTGTTTATTCATCACTGGTTTAGGTGGATGGTTCTCTCCTCGAACTATTAACTGACTTGCCTGAAGTAAAATGTGCTTCTGATGATAGCACAGATGCTGTACATTATCATTCTGTCATAGAAGATGAGAATGTTGCAGGTAATTTGACCTTTCAATTTAATGTAATTACTGTAACATTGAGTGTTTAATGATAATATTGTGCTGTAACCTGTCAGTTTCAGATAATGATTGATTCATAGATTAGAACTTCTCCTTCCACTTACTGACATTTATACAGTCAACAATTAGACAAACGATGGGTCTTTTGAGTGAGTGACATAATAGTGATTGAAATAATCGCTGTCGGTAGTGTTACGTGACTGTAGATTCAAGGAACGGTTGCATGAAAGGAATCACATGACTTTTTAAGGGACATATAGTTTGATCTCAATCTTTAGGATTGGTGGTATAAGGTGTAAGTAAGTATAACACTTGGTCACTGTGGTAGAGCATAACTCCATAATGGATAAGATTTTATTTTGATAAATCACACAGTGTTGTACAGTAATATTAACTGTACAGTAATATTATTGTACAACACTGTGTGATTTATCAAAATAAAATCTTATCCATTATAGTGGTTTGACGCTATGTTACTGAGCAATCGCATAGTGCACTTTCAAAAAGTAGAATCACAGATCAGTAGAACTAAGAGGTATGTTTTGTTTACAGCCATCTTGTTCTAACTTTTCATGAATCCTTATATAATTACTTGTGTAGTGAGAGTTGGCTGCTAGCTAAAGTTGGTAGACAGTAATTGACGTCAATGTTTATGTCCCCAATATTGGTGGTGAGAAAATGAGAACAAAGGCTTTGCGTAGGTGGGTACAGTTAGCATATGGATGATCTGGCACAGCCACAAAGAGATGCAACGTTAACTTTCTGTGAGAGACAACCAATCAAAAGACAGTATTTTCTACTAACAATGATCTACAATAATGTACATTAAAATCTATAAATATGTGTTGATCTTCCTTAATAAGGGATCTGTTACCTGGCCCTTGTCTTCTGTTGTTACACTTGCACAACTTTTTCATCTCGGGTTAAATTTCATGTTATTGTCAAGTATAGCAACTTCGTATGTTGTCATGTTAGGACCAAATATGCCTAACTACCAGGCATTTACTAAATTGTTTACTAATTGTGTGGTTAAATTTCTCACTCTCTGATAGTTTCCAACGGAATAGGATTCTCACATGTTCCCACAATTCACTTCGGCATTCGCAACAGAATGCTGTTTATCTATTTTAGCATTCCATTTCATGACATATATATATATATGTAAATATACTGCACTACTAATTTTATTTTTAAATTTTTCTTGCAGCAAGTAATTGTTTTGAAATGAATAATGAAGTGACATCAACAGCCACTGTCTAGGTGTCTGTTGTCAATACCGTGTGTAATTCTGTGGCAAAGGTTCGTAGGTTGTTCTTATCATACTATTTCTAATAAAAATATATTTAATGTATATAATATGCACTTCACTTCAATATTAGTAGTGTTTAATTGTGTACACTGTCTGTAAAAACGTCTCATATAATTCCCTGTAATGCTGTGATATAATATTTTATTTTTTAAGAGGTATATTTTAATAACAATGTTGTATTTCACATATATATACTGTTCATGGAATTACCAATTTGTTTTAATAAGTAGAGGTGAAATTTGATTATGAATGAGGAATTTTTTTTTGAGAGTTTAAAAATTTCAAAACATCCCAGAAGAAGAAAAGAATTATTTAGAATGCTGTTGTAATAATATACGACAACATAGAACATTGGATAAGAAATAATGATAATGTTCATTGTGTGTGTTTGATATCGAATTGTTTGACAAACGTGTCAGTATATCAACAGCACTACTTTTGAGTGAATCGTTTGTGTTATTTTGCTTCGTTATCTGTTTCTGCAGTATTTTAAGTGCATACAATCGTGTCAAGTATTACTCGTAGTTGTTTATTTATTGCCAGTCGCCAAATATTTCTTTATTATTTGGGTTTTTAGTTTGTACAAGGGGTGAAAAGAAAATTTCGTCGGATTACAAAAGCATTCTCAGAAGACGACTCCTCAGGCGAAGACCATCAGGTATGTTTTATGCATCTGCGAGCGAGTATACCTGTCAAACCATATGATATTATCTAAACTCACCATGCATAACGCATTAATTCTAAGTTGTTACCTGACATCAGAGCTATTCGGTGTACAGCAGCAATGTTAACTTACTATATCAGATACTGCAACTTCATGTAATCATCCTTTTTAACAACTTAACAGGTTAATTATTCGATGGTGACTGACTAGCAGTGGAATTAAGGATAAGCGTTCCGTCCTTCTCAATCATCCATGTTGAGTAGAAGTCGCTTCGCTAGCTGGTGAATTGAATACATAAATCGGGCGTCTGCACTCAGAGTAAAGTCGTCTAGGTGCTCTATGGGCAGTGCATCATCTTAAGTGAGCAGACAGCGGAGACCATGATCTGCAGCTTCGCGCAGATCACAACCAAGTTCTAGCTGGCACAACTATTTCCGTAGTCCTACTTGGTTTCTTCCCTCTACCACTTGAACCTGGATTCAGAGTAGACCACACTGCTGTCAGCTACTGGTAGTCTTGATTCATGCGAAACTGTCGATCCTGGAGCTATTGTCTGTCTGAATTCCCATTGTGCTTGATGATGTGCCATATTTATCTGGGATTTCGTGCTATATTTTTTCTATATTTATGAATGATAACCTGTTAATGACATAAAATCATAATAACTTGCTCCCCTTCCCTGTTAGCTTATAAGTTTAGGCTGAACTGACCCGTCGACGTTTTGTTATAACTGAACTGAATTGAATAGATCCGTTGCTACTTTGTGATGTCTGCGCCTGTTAATTACTATAACGGTAATGAACTCAACTGACACTCTAATACGTACGCATATTTGTCCTTTGTACTTTCCGATTCACTGAGCCAGCCATGCAAATATCAAAAGACAAAGAGTGGCCTGTGACTGTAAGATAGTGTATTAATTATATACATTTATTAGGAAACAAAACATAATATTTGTATATTTAATTTATGACAATACAGTCGGCCTAAAACCGTGAGAATGAACTGTTCTTATTGTCTGGATATGGCTATTCTCATTGGTTGGTGATCCGACAAAGATCAAGGTGAGACTAAAGACGATGAATTGATCACATGCTAGATGACAATATGTGTGAGAAATGATACATTCACATAGTAACTCCATGACAAGATAAATCATACGAGTCGTGAGAAACAAGGATGGTGTACTATTTTATACTGAGTAGTGGTATCACTACTTCCTCTTATACATTCATTGTATTATTACCACTTGTATCACTTGTGTGGTATCTTGACACACAAAGTTGGGTGCATAAACACTGACATATAGTTTTAAATGCTACTGTACTCTAATTCTAACATCATTTATAGTCTGAGTGTTTTGACGCATTGAAAAGAGAAAGAGAGAGGTCATCCAAGTCACCCGTTAACCTATCGTTGTAAAATACTATGGTGTATTTCAAAGTCTGTAGGATATTAGCCTGTTAGTTGGATTATTTACAGTAGACTAGTGGTGAATACGACCTAATTTGAAGGTCGCTCTCATTTATAATTATGATAGAGTTGAAATAATAATAATATATTACTTTTCATTATATGCTGAAAACGATGTCAAAGACCATGTGTTGTACACCGATAGAACAGATATTGTCCCTTCGAAGAAAAACCTGGAAATATCTAGGATGACCGTGATTACGGCAGAAAATTCTCTCCCACAGGCTTCACATTTATCATAGCTGGTGTGAAAATTGTTATTCAGCATTTCTTGATTCGATGTTTAGGAAATGTCTGTGTTAAGCATTATTATTGGTGGTGTTGTATTAAGCAGACAAAAATCAGAAATTGCAGTGTTTGAAAGTGAACTTTGCCAATATTCGCCAACAGTTAGTTTATCTGATGAACTTTATAAAAATGAAATAATAATAATAATAATAGTGAACCGAAATGCTTATTTGTATTCCTCTAGGTTAGGTATTTTGTTTTTGAAGATATTTAAAAATAACGGTGGAAAGTATTTATTTGGAAGATTGAAAAAAAAAAGATTTCTTGCCTTCATGGTTCTTTTACACGAAGATAAAATAAGAATGTGAATACTTGCTATTTACTTGCTATTTAATAAGGATACAATTTTCGCCAACAATTCGGCCGGCCACAGTTCCTTTCATTTTCCCCTCTAAGTTCATCTGTGTGTGGTGTTGTTAATTAGCTTTCTGACTGTTGATCGAAAGTCTTTCTTACCTTCTAAGTTGTTCGTCAAAAATGGTCAAGTTCGCCTTAATCTCCCTCCTCCTGATATTTTCACATTCACTACGACGATTATAACAACATACAATGAATGATTAATTGTGTGACAGTGACTTTCACACGTTATTTACCCTACGCTTTTCCCCTTTCTATAATTGTAATCATAGTGTGTTGGTGTGATTCAGACAATGTGTGCCAATGGAATGTTATTATTCTCACATTCCCACAGTTCACTAATGCGTTAGCAACAGAATACAATACATCTCTATTTGAACATTCTATTTCATGTCGTTCAATGTCATGTAAACCGAAATCACACGCTGGCTCTCAGTGATTGGTTAAGGAATATAAACAGTGGTTTGATGATTAATGAAAAATAAACCTCGGCTTTTGTGTCTTGCCTTCTGTTGTTGCAATAATAATTCTTTTTTTTTCCTGTTACTCTTTCTACAACTTTTAAGCCAATAGCTAAGCGTCTTCGAGCATCTAATGCAAGCAAGTCGCTTAAGACTTCAGATTCTGGTAAATCCCCGAGTAGCTCACAGTCGTCATCTAAAGCTTCACCCAGAATAAGAAAGCGTATTCCATTGAAGGAGTTGAACGTATCTACTGAGTGTAATGTGAGTCTTTTTAGTGGTTGTGTCAACTGCTTGTCAATATCATGTAATTGTATATAGCGATTGCGACTTTTTACTGTTTATTGCGTTTGTTTTGTTTAATGAGGAAAGACAGATCCGTTGGTGTAACTTTAATCTTGCCTTGAGGATTATTTCGTTTACCTGTCAAGTTTACTAAGGTTGAAAGGACTTTTCTATTTCCATACTGTTCCACTGTTTCTGGATCCTGGACACTTGCACCTGTGATTATGCAATACTGTCTTTTTTATATTTAATGACATTCATGACTGTAGGGTTGTTTACAAACTGTATATAGTACATTTTACGGTCTTGTTGAACTGTTGTATATTTTGCATATACGAATGATTTTTACTCTTCCTGGTTCAACAGTTGGAATGACGGTTAGTCCCGTTAACGTTATTGGAAGACAGAGTTTATCTGAGAAATGTGATGTATTTGTGAAATATATTTTGGACAAAATGATCACACTTAGTTGTTAAATCAGTTGCTATGACAAAAGCGGAATGTCAAATTAATAGATAAAATGATGAATATGGGAGGATATTAATTACTACCACGGCCCTTGGTAGTATAATCGGGTGAAAATTACCAGAGTTGGTTGAATGTAATAAGTCAAAAGATACATACATAAGTATAAATAATATCAAATTGTATTTTTACAGGCTGAAAAGAGGCTTGCTTTTACGGATACTCATCACGTCATGGTATTTCAGTATGCGCCGCTGTTTTGATATCAATCTTGTGGTTCATATAAATCAAGTTCCTATATTATTATTATATTATTATTATTATTATTATTATTATTATTATTATTATTGCATTGTGTTCCGTGTGTAACACTGGGCTTCAGCCTAGTTCGCTAGCTGGTCCTAAGAAAAGTTGGCTGTAACTAGGTGTTTACTGGAAATGTGAATCTGGTGGTCTGCCATCTGCATTCATAGAGGTTTCATAATTCGCTTATTTATCAAGCCATTTCGGTATGTGTTCACCTATTCATTACTCCTCGCTATATGTGTACGTGTGTGTGTGTATGTGATGGTGGACACATGTAAATTGTGATGTGATGTAGTTACAAGTTGAGTGTTTTCGAAGTTATCGATAACTATAAGCTGAACTGCATAGTAAGTTTTACGAATGGCAAAATGTAGTCTTTCTCTTAAAATCCTACTATTTATTTCCCCATTTCAAGTTTAATGTGGACATCATTTTTGTAACTAAATAGATTGTAAAATGACTACTGTCTACACTGGTTCATTTATTCAAGTGATGATAAACGCTTAGAGTTGAATATATTTCTTTCTCAAAAGCTTAGTTCACACTAAAGTGTGTTTATCAGTACCCGATTGTTAACTTCTTTAATCCTAGATGATGCACTTTCAAGTTTTTATTTACTTTTATGTTTAATGTGGCTGATTTTACTTTCGATTAATTCGTGTTGATGAATATGCATTTGTGTATTTTCTAAGGCAAATAAATAATGGAAAATGTACTACATGATAGTTTACAGACTTGTGTGTGTTAAAACAGTTTAGTATAAAGCTGTGTGAGTTTTACATTTGTTTTCTCATTCTCTTTGCTTTTTTGCTTTTTGATTTTTCAAGCGTATTCGGTAAGTCGTTGAGTTCAGTTGCCGCCTTCAAGTGATTTAGTTATTGCCACGGTGTTGTTTATTTTCTAGTTGACAGTTTATGTTTCTTCTGATGAGTTTCGGTTGATTCGGTGGTTAATTGCCTACTTTGGTGGTATAAGGAAGCGTATGTGTGTTTGTGTGTGTTTGCGTGTGTGCTACTGACTGTATCGAGTGCGATTCATTGCATGCACAGAGCCGGTTCACTTAATATATCCACCTAGAGTTTTTCTTTTTCTCATGCAATAGTTCTAAATTTATTTCGATTATTTTTGAAATATCCTGGATACAGATACAGGATTCTGTGTAATAAATCACCGAATAATAAACAGTCTATATTTGAATCGAAAACTTTAGGAACTGGTTGAAGAATTGATTATTCAGCATGTTTTCTCTTGCTTTCTTTTCCTGGCAGAATTACCGGTGTTCGTTGTTCAATGGTGAAATAAATGCACTCAGGCTACGCATGAGGTTCTGGTTTGACTACTAGCCGACTCACGCTCAGATTTTGCATAGCAGGTAGTAAGACCGAAAAAGATGTAAAGTTAGGTGTGAGGCCAGTAAACTCACGCAGTGAAAACAACATCATTACTGAAACTTAACAGCTCAAAGAAAGAAAAGAAATCGAAGCACACTAAATTACACTGAGACAGGGAATATAGTTTTTTTTCTAAAACAGATAAACGCTTCAGTATTTGCGAGGTATCATGTATGCATCGAGCTACCTGATATAGTCTTCAGAGGGGAATTGTTAGGCGAAAATTACTCCCGTCTATTATAGTGTTAACATTACAATGTATTTCCTGTTTTGTTTGACGGTAATATTTTCTTAGCATAGAATCGCGGCGCAACACTGTCTGTATACTTTGAAGATACACGCGAAAATCGAATTAATTCGACTTACGATTGATTGTAGAATTAAGAAATGCAAAATCTGAGTAAAGGAATCAGTCAAGCTAAAGTGATTTTTAGCATAGATATGTGTAAGCTTGTCTCAGCTAAAATCTGGAAATATGCCGCGTATATCTTCCAAGGTTGCTGTGTCCGACTAAATTCTTTCTGACGACTAGACTATTTGAGATACATCGATTAATGAAATTCTTAATCATTGTGATCATTTCAAATATTGTAGACGTTAAGAGAACTAGAAAATTCGAATGAGTCTTTCAATGAAGATTTTGCTCACCCTGTCTTTCTGAGAATGCTGTATAAAGAAGAACTAGAAATTTTTACATGTGTAAGTTTTTCTTTTCATTTTAATTGTTTAATGTTTCTTATTTTCAGTTTTGATTATGACTATATCTGTGTTGTTATCAGATAATAACCCCATGTCCAAGTTGTGTGGAAATGTGAAGAATGAATAATTAGCTGTGTCGGTTGTCTCAATATTTAACTCTGATTACATGAGATAAATTAAATGTGGAAAGTTATTAATACGCCTAAATAAAGTGTGACCTGGTAGGAGGATACTTAGTGGTGGGGTGAGAAGATTAAGATCATCCATAAAGTAGTAACCAGTAAGGATCTCGATATCCAGAAGTATTCTTCAAATAACAAAATAAATTTGTCAAGTGAGAAAATCAACTGATAAATTGTTAATTTAATTGTTAACTTTTCATTATAGCTTGATTCTACACCGTAGTTTTGGTAGAAGTATGGAATTTTCAGCATGTGATATCGGTAGCCGAAATATTGCAGGTCGACTATTGATACGAGGTGTACGTCCGTCGAGGATGAAACCGCGGCGAGAGTGTTAACCGCTGTGCCACCTACCTAAAGACTGTTAGTGAGATCGTAGCACAGCACTCCCATAAACTAATATTGAATATAGTAGTGTTATTATTCTGCTTATACACTAGTCAAATTGCGTAATCTTCCTTCTATTTACAATTACCAGTTGAGCTGCTAATGTAGAAGGAGGTAGGTACACTTACCATATTTATCTTATTGCTTCACCTTCAATATTTTCACGATAATCTGAAGGTGAATTGAAGTGGGTCAAGCAGATGGAAATTATCTCAGTGGAGGTTGTAAAGAGTTGTTAGGGATAAGGAATGAATGTTAAAGACTCATGCAGTACATGACGATGAGCAATTAAATGAGATATGTATCTGCAATATCTGTTTGTTCCTATGAGTTTGTGTTATCTTAAGTTTGTTGATCTTGGTATAAATGATAGAATATGAATGAATATGGAATATTATGCATAGAAGTGCAGATCAGTCGTAGGAAATTGAAGGTGAGATGATTTTTGTATGGTGTAACAAAAGTACTTGAAACGAGAGAGAGAAATGAATCAGCAGTAAAGAAAGCTAGGAAAGAGGAAAAGTGGAACGGTTTTCGTCTCCATGCTGCATTAAACACAATTTTGTTCATTTGTAGATTCCACAGGAAAATTGTATTCCCTTACATTAAATGTTACCTTTCTGTTCATATGATACTAAGTTTGTTTGTTCTTGAACAAAAATAAACACACTTGGTTTCTAAATGTAAATCACCAGTAGTGAATGATTTTATATCATAGCCTTTCTGTGAGACTTTTGTGTCTTTTAGTTAGACACTAGGCAGCAACTAGTGCATGCGTCTAATTATTCGTTTGGTACCAACTGAACTTTACCAGTCAGTCAAGTTTGTAATGTGGACATTATGGGTCAACGTCACGGTGCACTTCGAATTGTTTTTGGACGGTTAGGGGCAATCAGCAGGAAGCCTTGGACACTTGGGTTTCGTGCTTGTTGGCGAGACATCGGCAATCTTTGAAGAAGTCATGTCCCTTCTGGTACTCGAACCCAGATCGCTGAGTGCTGCAGTCGGAGACATTACCACTGAGCAAACTTGATTGATAGAGTTCAGTCTACAGCAAACTGAGGTCTAGACAGATGATATTGGTTACTACCTAGTGTCCAATCAAAGTATACATTACTGTCCTACAGGAGACCAATCACGAGACCTAATGGTTCAGTGGTAGCGTCTCTGAATACAGCGATGAGCGGAGTTGGTTTGAATCTTAGTAGAGAGATGAATTCCTTGAAGAAAGCAGATGCATGCATGTTGTTGACGAGTGCCAACGAGAAAACAATCTAGGTCGCAGACAGACTGTCTGTCGATATCCTCCAACCACTGAACAACTGTTGTGTCTAGAAAAATTTATCCTATAGCACTTGTGTATTCGTAAATAAAATTTATTGTTAACTCATTTTGTTCTCTTTCTTTTCTTCCTGTTTAGTATATGAGGTCGATCAATGAAGTTTATCAAATTTCAATATCTAATTGTAATTATAATGAGTTGAGTAAACTTTTCGAATAATGAGTTTTAAATGCGTTTATTCCATTTTCTTCATCTATATTTCACATATTTCTCGCCTGTTATCATGTTGACAGTTTTAAAAATCCGAGTAAAGTGTTGTTGTGCTCCTGTTTGTGTCCCCTGCTTGTGAAAAACATTGAAGTTTTGTTTTAGAAAGACATTTTCACTCTTAGTTAACTCTATTTTTCTTTATCACAAAATGAATGACACTAATTTAAACGTTTTCGCTTCACGTGATTTTATTCTTTTAGAAATAAAAATCTTCCTTTTTGAAAAAGCAGTTTGTGTTCTTCTGTTCAACGTAGAACTTTCCTCAGATGCATATAAGTACAAATCACAACAATTTAAAAAGTAGTACAGCAAACAACAATAAGTGCATACATCCTCACTATTTTAAATCGTCTTGAACTGTGTCATCAGCAATCACCAACCTCTGTTACTTAGCATCTTAAGTACAAAACCAGATAGTCTACCATTCACCACAAATTGTCGTCTGAGTATATTTGCGAATGGGCTATCGTCCACACTAGTTGTCATGTGAAAGTCAATCTTAGTATTGACCGTCGGTTACTCTTTACTTGAACGGAGGCATGAAATCACAGGGCTACAAATCAAACAACAACCCCTTAAGTTATTACGACTTTTCAAATTAAGACTTCCATTGATTGCTTCGACAAAACGCCTCCGTCTCTCATGGGAATGTTCCCTTCATCTGCAGATACTTCGAAGATGGCTGCTCATATAAATTAAAGTCAGTCCGTAAATAATGACTAACAGTAGAATTGAGAATGAGCGTTCCGTCCTTCTTTTTTGAGCTTGTCGTCCAGATGTACCTGCATTCCCCAGTAATTGATGGTGTTCCCATCGAGGCTCGAACGGAGTGCCCATGGTTTCAAACGCCGGAGCGTTATCCACTAGATCATTGGATGTAGTGGACAGCTATTTCCTCCTAGTTTTGGACGCTTCGACAGTACCCACCCACCCACGGGGTTGGTACCTAGGACCTACCGTTGGTTACAAGGTGACTCGTAGACCATCAAGCAACTGGGACCCGATTACTGCAGTGCATGTGAAAATATCCTCCTCCACAACTTAGTCTTTAGTGGATGTGAAAAAAGAAGATATTTCAAACATTTGTTAATTTTTACGAGTAGATCACGTACCGATATCAGTTAAAGAAGCATAGAAAACCAGGGAGTACTGGACAGTTGTTTCATCCTAGTTTGGGAATCGTCGGCAGTACGCACCCACCCACTGTGATTCGAACCCAGGACCTTCCGGTTACAAGGCTAGCTCGTATATCATTCAGTCACTGGGACCCGATTCAATGGCTCATGAATTCTAACTTGTACCAATTCGTGATTTAGCGCGACCCCGACCAATGTCGTTAGTGAGACATCCATCCTCGCGCTAAATCAATCCGTGATCAACTCGTTAAACCATAATTAATCCTTACAAACGAAACTATAGAAAATTTGTTAATTTCTTTTTCTAATCTTCTTAGTACAATATTTTTTCTCTTGTAAATAACACCTTCTCATTTCTATATATACATATATATCCATGACATTGCATTGAGTGGAAATATTTTTCTGTCTCTAAGAGAGATAACAGCTAATAATATGGAGGCTATCTGCTATGTGTTATTGTTCACTTCTGAAAACGAAAATGATACATACATTAAACTGCTCAGACTTTTTGTAATATTATTATTATTATTTCCTTTAATTCCTAGAGGAACATAGGGCTTCAGCCATGCGTCTCCATTGCGTTCGGTTCTCTGCTGTAGTTTTCACCTGGCTCCAAGTCTGCCCACACGCTTTCAATTCCTCTTCACATGATCTCCTCCAGGTCACCCTTGGACGACCAACTCGTCGCTTCCCTTTCGGGTTCCACTCGAGCAATGGCTTGTCTAGTGATGTCACTTGCTGGTTTCCTCAGAGTGTGTCCAATCCATCTCCATTTCTTCCTGCCTATTTGTTTCACAATCGGTTCCTGCTGTGTTGGTTCGCTCCCAGAGATCTTTGTTGCTGATCCTCTCCGGCCATTTGATCTTGAGTATTGAGCGAAGGCATTTGTTAATGAAGGTCTGTAGCTTGTTTGAGGTGCTCTTTGTGACACGCCAAGTCTCTTATCCGTATAGTAGTACTGACTTCACATTGGAGTTGAAAATACGGATCTTATTTTTGACGCTGAATGCTGTTGACCTCCACATAGACTTGAGAGAAATGAAAACTTGTCTTGCTTTTCCGATTCTGGCTTTGATATCCTCGTCAGTTCCTCCTGTAGTTGAGACGATGCTTCCCTGGTAGGTGAAAGAAGTTGTTTCCTTCAGGTTCCTCCCATTTATGCTGATTGTTGTCGGTTGTTGCTGTTGATGTTGGCCAGGAATCTTCATTGCCTCTGTTTTGTCTATGTTCACTTGAAGTCCTATCTTTGCTGCTTCTTCTGCCAATTTGTTGCTTTTCACTTGCATATCTTCCAGTTTGTGGGAAATCAGACATATATCATCGGCGAAATCCAAATCCTCCAAGGCTTTTGTGTCGGTCCATTTTATGCCTGTTCCCTCGTTGGTTGCCGTTGTCTGCCGCATTATCCAATCAACTGCAATCAGGAAGATCATTGGTGACAGTAGACAGCCTTGTCTCACTCCCGTCCTCACTTCGAAGGATTCCGTGAGCCTCCCGTATGTGGATTACTTGGCATGCAGCGTTGTCATACAGCTGTTGGATGAGATGAATAATTGTCGGCGGCACCCCGTAGTAGCGAAGTAGTTGCCAAATCACCTCTCGATCGACGCTGTCGAAGGCTTTCTCAAAATCGATGAAGTTGAGATAGAGAGGTGACTGCCATTCCAAACTTTGTTCAATGATAATCCGTAGGGTGGCGATTTGGTCAATGCATGACTTGTTCCTCCTGAATCCGGCCTG